GTGACAGTCGCCTGTGTTGATCGTTGGTGGTGGTGGTGGTCTGTGCCTTCTTGTTGCCGTCGTGGTGTTGTTGTTGTCATCGTGGTGTGTGGTAGCTGTGGTGGTCCTGTTCCTTCGTCGTGGTGTGTGGTGGTGTCGAACCAAGGTTCTCTTGGAACCCTAATCAACTAGCGAGGAAGAAGATCCCAGCCAGATCAAGTCAATCCAGGGACTAAAATTGTTTTTAAGTCTCAACCCACGGTTCAGGCCGATTTAGTAGTCTAGGAGCTCCAGCGGTCTGGTTCAATGATCAGAAGAGCCCAACCGGACAGGTTCAGTGGTCCAGCCCATATATCCAATCCGGTTCAGTGGTCCAACCCCTATTTCCAACCTAGTTCAGTGATCCAGCCTCTATTTCCAACTCGATTCAGTGATCCAGCCCGATTCAACCCTCCAGCAGGTCCAACTGATCCAGTTCAATTGGCCATCCCCTATTTCTAACCCGATTCAGCATTGCAACACTTTTTATTTGCTATTTGCTACACTATTATGGAACCCAAGCAAAATACCACGTCCCTTACTCCATCTTTGCCTCCTCCTACTTTTATCAATAGTCTCATGACCTTTGTCAAACTCAATGAGACTAATTACACCTTATGGTCCCGATCTGTTCAAGTCTTTCTTCGAGGTAAAGGATTTAAAAAATATTTGGTGAATCCTAAACCTAAGGAAGACACTCCTGGGTATGATCAGTAGGAACAAAAGGATGCTCAGATTATCTCTTTATTGTTGAATAGCATTGAGCCTAGTATTAGCTCTTCTCTGCTCTATCTTGATGCTACCAAAGAGATATGGGATTACTTGACTACTATATATTCTGGTTCAGGTCATTTTACCCGTGCGTATGAGGTGTGTAAGGAGTACTTCCGGTTGGAGCAGGGTACTCTAAGTATTGTAAACTATTACTCTCATGTTCGGGGAGTCTATGAGGAGATGTAGACCTATCATCTTTTTACTACTGATGCAACAATTTGGCAGAAATAACATAAGGCCCTGAATGTTATTAGATTTTTGGTAGGATTGAAACTTGAATATAAGACTATTCGTTCTCAGATTTGGGGTGGTTCTAGTCTTCCATCACTGCTCAAGATTTTCTCTCGTTTACAGTGTGCTACATTGTCTTTTCCTTCAGGCATCGATCATGGTGTCTCTACTGATCGCTCAGCTCTTGTGGTTCCTAGTAGCCACAGTAATTGTCATCGAGGTGGTCGTGGTGGTCGAGGAGGTTGTACAGGAGGTCGTACGGGTGATTGTGGAGACCATAGTGAATCCCGTTCTTGTACTCACTGTGGTCGTGGAGGACACACGGTTGACTTCTGTTGGAATTTACATGAAAAATCTTCTAGTGCTGCTAATCAAGCTCCTTATCACGATAATACCTCAGTTGTTGCTTCCATACCTCAGTTAGCTCCACCAAACACTGGGTCAGTTACTATTACACTGGGTCGAGAAGAGTATGCCCAGTTCCTGTCCCAGCAACAGGCCGTTCCATCTCCCTCCATTGCTACTTTTTTCCAGTCAGGTACTGCTTCCACTTGTTTATTGTCCTCCACTCTCAGTCCCTGGATCATAGACTCCGGCGCTTTTGACCACATGACTGGTGCGTCAAATGTCTTTTTTATTTATCAGTCTGCTACTTTCACACGTAGTGTTACTCTTACTAATGATACATGTTCTAAAGTTTCAAGTCTGGAGACTACTCACTTGAGTCCTGATGTGTCCTTATCATCCGTGTTATTTGTTACTCGATTTCTTTTTAGTTTACTTTCCATTAGTAAGATTACTCATTCTCTTAATTGTTCTGTAACCTTTTATCCTTCTTATTGTGTCTTTCAGGATCTCAAGACGAAAAAAAAGATTAGTACGGGGTATGAAACGGGTGGCCTATATTACTTTGATTTTGATTCACCTACTCAGGCTCTACAGACCTCGTTGTCTCCTTTTCAATGGCATTGTCGCCTTAGACATTCCTCTCTCTAGAATCTAAAGCGCCAAGTTCTCAATCTTAGTTGTGTGTCATCTTTGTTTTGTGAAACTTGTCAACTTAGTAAGCATCACCGTGTGTCATTTCAGTCCAGAGTCAACAATCGTGTCTAGTCCATTTGAATTGGTACATTCTGATGTATGGGATCTAATAAAGAATATTTCATCTAATAAATATCCTTATTTTGTGTCTTTTGTGGATGACTATTCTCGTGTGACTTGGTTATTTTTTATGAAAACTCGATCTGAATTATTCTCTATATTTGAGACCTTTCGTAAAGAAATAAAAACTTAGTATGGTTGTCATATACGTATTTTACGTTCTGATAATGCTCGAGAATATGAATATGATCATTTTTAGCTTATCTTAGTAAAATTAACATTATTCATCAAACTTCATGTGCTTACATATCTCCACAGAACGGTGTTGCTGAACGCAAGAACCATCATTTGTTGAAAGTCACCCGTGCCCTGTTATTCCAGATGAATATTCTCCAATATTTTTGGAATAATTCTGTACTCATCGCTTGTCACCTTATTAATCATATGTCATCCTCTGTGTTAAATAGACAAAGTCCATATTCTGTCATTTTTCCTGATAAGCCCTTATTTTTTCTAACTCCTAAGGTTTTTGGATGTGCCTGTTATGTTCACAATTTGGGTCCTAGGTTTGATAAACTTGATCCTCAAGCTACCAAATGTGTATTTCTTGGTTATTCTCGCACACAGAAGGGATATAATTGCTAAAGTCCTTCTCTGCGGTGATACTTTACTAGTACCGATGTCATATTTGAGGAATCTGTTCCATATTTTTCAGTACCTTCTCAGTCTTTGGATCTAGATCGTGAGTCACCTCTTGTACCATCATTCCTTCCCTCATCTTCAGATATTCCGCTACCTACTGTGTTACCGTCTACTTTACCTCTTCATGTATACTCTCGTCGTCCTCAATCATTGATTGAGGTGTCCGTACCGTCTTTTTTGCCGCCTTATGATCCTAGTCCATCAGGTAATTTAGACTCTTTACCTATTGTTCTTCGAAAAGGTACTCATTTGTGTGTGTTACTAATCATCTCATTGCTCACTTTGTTTCATATGATGCCTTATCTCCTAATTTCTCTTGTTTTGTCTCTCAATTATCTACTATATCTATCCTTAAACATTATAGGATGCATTATCTGATCCGGATTAGAGAAAAACCATGGAGGATGAGATAGATGTCTTATATCATAATGGGACTTGGGATCTTATTCCTTTAACCCCTGGTAAACGAACTGTTGGTTCTCGTTGGGTGTATACTGTTAAATTTCATCCAGATAATTCTGTGGAGCGTCTCAAAGCCCGGCTTGTTACAAAGGACTTTACTCAGACATACGGTGTTGATTATGAGGAGACTTTCTCTCTAGTTGCCAAACTTTCCTCAGTTCGTATCTTGATTTCTTTGGCTGCTAATCTTGATTGGCCCTTGTTTCAGTTAGACGCCAAGAATATCTTCCTCCATAGTGACTTGGTTGAAGAGGTATACATAAAGCAGCCACCTGGGTTTACTGCTCAGGGGGATTATAGTAAGAGTATATGTCGATTAAAGAAATCTTTGTATGGTTTGAAACAGTCACCGAGGGCATGGTTTGATAAGTTTTCAGATGCAGTATTAGAGTTTGGTCTTCTTCGATGTCCAACAGACCATTTTGTGTTCTATAGACAGAGGGATGTTAGATATGTTCTATTGGTGGTCTATGTATATGATATTGTGATTACTGGAAATGATTCTAAGGGGATTACTAAGTTAAAAATCTTTTTGCAAGATCGCTTTCATACTAAGGATTGAAAAAACTCAAGTATTTTTTGGGAATTGAAGTAGCTCGATCTAAACAGGACATTTGTTTGTCACAAAAGAAATATGTACTTGACATGCTAGAGGAAACAGGTTTGTTGGGTGGCAAACTGATTGATGTTCTTATGGATCCAAATCAAAAACTATTAATGAATGATGGTGCACTGTTTGAGAATTCGGGTTGGTATCACAGATTGGTTAGAAAGCTTAATTATCTCACTATTACTCGCCCGGATATTTCTTATGCAATCAATATAGTAAGTCAGTTCATAAGGTGTCCTAAAGTACCACATTGGGAGGCAGTTACTCGTATTCTACGATATCTTAAACGAGCTCCCGGACTTAGGTTATTATATCGAGCTAATGGACATCTTAGAGTAGAAGGTTTCTCAGATGCTGATTGGGCTAGCTCTCCTTCTGATCGAAGATCAACTAATGGTTATTGTACTTTTTTAGGAGGTAACGTTATCTCATGAAAAAATAAGAAACAATTTGTGAAAGCAAGATCCAGTGCTGAGGCCGAGTATAGGGCAATGGCGCATACGAGTGAGTTGACTTGGCTACTGCACTTTCTCCAAAAAATTGAGTTTCCAGTACAACCTCCTTTACAGTTGTTCTGTGACAACCAGACAGCTATCCATATCGCTGCCAATCCGGTGTTTCACGAAAGAACCAAACATATTGAGGTTGATTGTCACTTTATTCGGGACAAGATAGTAGTTGGGGAGATTACGACTCCATTTGTGAAATTTGAAGATCAACTTGCAGATATGTTTACCAAAACATTGAGTCGTACATGTCTTACAGAGATTTGTTCCAAGCTTAGATTATATGATATATATAGTCCAGCTTGAGGGGGAGTATTAAGAGTATTAGGGTAGTATATGTAATTTGCTAATAGTGTTAGTGTATTATGTGTAAATACAAGAGGGTGTGTATGTGTAATTCTTGTTATGAGTTACCTATAAATACAAATGATGTATGAGGGCTAAGTTTAGTTTTGACCTATCTCTGTTTCTCTCTAATATTGTGTTAATATGCTACACTTAACAGTATTTTTGGAATTGACTGTAAGGAGCTCTTCTTATTGCATCAAACAGATCAAAAAAGGGAAAAAGATGAGCTTAAGAAATCAAAAGGACACTTACAGTGCTCCTCCTCCTGCTGGACCGGCAGCTTTAAAAAGTGACATTGCAGTCATGGCAATTCCATTAGCAGCTCCTCTTTGGTGTTGATCCTGATGTTATAGTATTGGATCAAATTAAATTAAGATACACTGTGTGGAAAACAGTATTATTTGACATACTGGCGAGAAATAATAGAGAGAAAAAGAAAAAAATGGGAAGAATCAAGACTTGAAGGAAATTACCACAGCGTTGTTTTGCAGGATGAACATGCCAGTTATAATGGACACCTGATGATAGTCACAAAAAATATGAGAAATATCAGATTTTAAAATAGAGAGAATGCATATCATTTCTGAATATATGCTTAAAAAGCTCATTTGAGGATATATTCTCCCAACATAACACTAACAAGATCATATGTTTCTAAGAACATTTGTGCAGGCTCATGTTTACCAATTTTGTATGGCATACACAGGGATTCATCAAATGGAATCTGCATGCATTTCTCGTTTTTATACATGCAACAATGATGGTACTTGGATAACAAGCATAAAATATAGACATTGGTGGTTAAGACATGTACTGCAAGTTCCCTGTTTCAATCCTATCTTCATAATGACTTAGATTGTTTTACCTTTTCATTCAGCATCCACTCTACGTTGAACCAAAACCACAACCTCCCAACCCATGATCTCATGCAATAAATACACATGCTTCTCAAGAAGTCAGCCAGACTTATACAGCATATACAATGAATAATTTTTCTCAGACACGACTCATCTTGCGGTTTAATAAGAAAATAGCTCTGTTCATACGCAATCTTAACAGAAGCCAAAACTGATGAGTTCCTTCAATTAATGATATCTGGACAAGGGAAAAATTCATAGGAGCAACATGCACCACTCCAATACAATCATTAATATTTTATATTGAACTGTGGTGCTCAACAGTGGGTTATTTAAAGAAATGGAGGAAAATGCAAAGAAAAGGGCAACACAAGGAACCAAGAAAATGGAAATGTTACTTAAAACACATTAAACATTGGCAGTCAACCAAATGGAAGGAAGGCCTGTTTTGGTGCAATGTTACATAATCATACTATTCAGCACAAAGAAGGGTTCAAATCTCTTGGCAGCCACTTTATGCAAATAAAGCCATATGTCAAAAATGCAACCAATCCACTTTCCCAATAACCTCACCTTAGGGGACGAGCACTGGGTTATCGCCCTTTCATTTTTTGGGAAAACATATTTTCTATTAACAGTGGACAACTGTAACTCGCTAATAGTGCTATCCGAGACATACACGGTTTTGGTCATTTTTTGGGTGGTGTGTGGATAGAGAGGAACCATAGAATATTTGAAGGAAAGGAATTGTTATGGGATAGAGTGAAATTTTTGGCATATTTATGGGCTGTGGTTACTGATGAGTTTCGCGATATTCCACTTTTAGCTCTCTAACACAACTGGAAAGCCGCTTGTAGTCTATAGTTGTCCTTTATTTGCTTTAATTTTTGCTCTTTTAGGTATAGTTATGTACGTTCATATCTGTCAATGTAATGAAAATGTTGTTCCTTATAACAAAAAAATGAAAAAATAAGTCATCTAAAGCCATAATACTCTTTGATATATCAAGGTGCATGCTGGCGTCTTTGAATTCAACAATTGGCCTCTAGAAGACTATCATTTTCCTCAAGTGTACTCAAAAACAGCATTCTTAAGCTTATATTGGCAAACACTTGAAGCACATAAAATCTTGAAGTCATAAATGCACTTACAGATAAAACATTCTTCAGCACAGATGCAAAATTCAACAGCAGTGAGAGGCTGAACCCAGAAAGCATGGCTATATAATGGTAACTTGTCAACAATGGTATGGTCAACACCTACAAACAGATCAACAATGCACCTCGTTAAATAAATTTATTCTTTATTGAACAGGAAAATTTGGAAATGCAAACAATAAATGTGTTGCTTTTTTCCATAAGGTTGACTGCTTACTCCTGCCGCACGAGAAACCATGATTGGGCCAAGAAACCTCTCCACAAATGGATACAAAAAAAGTTGAAAGACCAAAAGGCCAAAACCTGAAAATTCACCAATTGATCAACAATCCTAGGTATTCATACATTTAGGTATTTAACTATCCGCATTTATAAAGACAAAACATAGAGGGAAACAAAGTCAGGCAGGTGTGTGCCCAACAGTTTCTGCCAAGACTCTGTGTTGTTTTGATAGGAGAAGGCCATAAGGCTCATATATTAGTTTGGGAGGTGTTATTTTGTTGAGGTGGGACAAGATCTAATGCTACCCCGCACGTGCAACCCCAGACAAATTCAGGGATATACCAAGTGCACTAAACAATTGACAATGAGTGGAGATTCTCACAAAAAATCATATACTAGTTCAAAAGGTATTATTTTAGCAATATGAGAGAAGCTCTAACCTATTGATGTGTACCACATGTCGATCGGCTGAACTAAGTGGTGCAAGGTGTCATTCTCATAGTTGTAGATTTGCAAACGTGAGTTCCTTTTTATTGAAGTTTTAAATTAGAAATTCGTAAACCAGGACCCTTGTTTCTTGGAAACCTTCAATGACTCTTTAGTTACCCCCTCATCATCCCAAACCCCCCCCCCCC